TTGTAGGCTTTTCAGGCCCTTCTGAATATCGCGCCTAGATGGCATTGGCAGAGAAAACACCTGTCACACTAGCTGGGAAGGCGTCTCAGACTGCCGTTAGCTGGCAAATCAATGTCCCGCTTTCTCGTAATTTATTCTGCCATATCGATAAGTCACCCCGTAGCCCTTTTAGGCCCAGATATTGTCTCTCCAGTAGATTAAGTGACTCATTCCTGGCTCTTTTTGGATGAACTCAGGCTGGTTTCTTCATTATTGGCTCCATAGTTACTGCTGTTACTACGGTCTTCATCATCGTTAGACTCTTTCCATCTGTTGCTTTCATTATCTCTTTCTGAAGCGGCAGCTCCAGAAGAAGCGACGCTTTCTTCGTTTCCTCTGTCGCTGCTTTGCTGTCCTCCGCTACTGCGCTCCCAGTTAGCAGGATTGCCTGCCTTCGCACCTTCCTTTCTTGCTCTCCGTTTATGTTTTTTCTCCTCCATTGCATGCTTCTTTGCTTCCTTTTTTCGTTGTTTCCTTTCTTTTCGCAGCGTCTTACGATGCTTGCCTATTGACCGGCAGCATTTAAAAGGAATAAGGATGCACTTGCATAGCAATTTAATAAGAGGCTTTAGTATGGGCCATAAAAGAAATAGAGCTACAACGGCAATCCCCGCGAAAAGAACAGTCTTCAGAACCCTTTTAAGTGAACCCATGCAGTCGCTCCCTGCAAATTTGCGCGCAGCTCCTCACAGAAAAAAGCCTTTCAGAATGCGGATTCACTATGAAACATCTCCTCATTCTGAGGGTTGAGCATATCTTTCTTGTAGCCTTCAGTGTCATTCGAAGCAGCTTACAGCACATCTCAAGCTGTATGATTAAGGGTAGTTATGCAGGTAGGGTAGCTGGTATTAGTTTTGACAGGCATTGGTGGATTATATGTTCCGCAAACAGGGACTCTCACAATCAGCTGGAAGGCACAAGACATTCCAAAAAGAGCAGTCGCACTCCCCGTCATCCGGCACAACGTTCATTAGCTTTTGATACCAGTTCCGTTTGTCCTGAAGCGCAAGTTGAGATTTCTTATTTCCCTTGTGTGCCAGCAAGCAGAATTGGTAGGCCGTAGTCTCCAAAGAGCCCGAAGTCAGATACACGGTGCATAAAAACAAACGGCTGAGTGCGTCGTAGTCAGTCATTGTCGTTAACGATATACTCTGGGAATCCTGTAAAGTGCGTTAGCTCCTGAAAGTTTTCATAGTTGTTTTTATCCACGGTTTACACCTCACTTCAGGCGGTTCGATGACTACGACCTCTCCTGCGGGATTCGTTACACCCCCTGGCAACTCCTGAACAAACAGCGGCCGTCGCATATCAGTCCAAAGTAAAACCTATGCGCTTACCCAAATAATTCACCATATCTAGCCTTGTGAGATCATCAGGCAGTGTTGCCAAGTCGGGGTTCACTACCCAGTACCCAGCCATTGTACAGGTTGTTGAGACGCTTACTGCCGCCTTGCCCGTCAGGAGGTCAAATGATTTTATGTCAAGTTGGTTTAGCTCTGAATCATAAAGCTTCATTATGCAGTTGAAGTCAAACTCCTCGACAACGGCTGTGAGGCGGAGAGTTAGGTCAAATGCCTGACTGGCGCCGGCAGGAACATTACGCTGAACTGCCGGCACAGGGTCCAACTGAAAAGAAGCAGCGAAGTAATGATGGGATTCCACTGGTGGTAGCCACCGGCTGGAGTAGGCTTTGGCCACAGCTTATATCACAAGAAATATGACCTGTAGTGCTATTATGTTGCTTATGCAGTGTGGACGCTACCCTTCCATAACTGTTTCGTTGCAACGATTTGCGAAATGCTTACTTTGTCTGTTGGCTCCTCGCTGCCATGCTCTGTGCAGTATGGTAGCTCCAAATAGTACGTTGCATCTATCGTGCCTGGAGAGCAGGGGCATTTTGAGATACAGTCGCTTTTGTACGTGATTCTCAAGAGCAGGAAAACTTTTGCCTAGGGAAATAGTGTGCGTGGAGAATGTGGATGCGATATAGCGCATATGGTTGAGAGAGCCTGTCATGGAGGCTGCATGGAAGCCTAACCTGAGTTGAGCACATACACTTTTAGTGGGCATCCAAACGTCTGAGCATTATCGCATTCACGTGGTGCTGGGGGCCTGAAGCAGATAGCACTCAGCCTGTCGATGGCCGCTTTTGCCATGGGCAGTCGTCAGACGTTCACTTTACCTGCGATGTTACACGCGTCAGAAGAAATTCTCGTAGGAGTACAACAGGACGATTGCATTTGCTTAAGTTGCATTGGCAGGTTCAAGAAGTTTTCCCCTGCTTTCCACACAGGGAGAACTGGCTTACGCGATGCTAGTTATTTGACCTGGAGAGGTAGACTGAATCCAGCGAATCAATCCAGCATTCATCTCAATGCGCACTTTACTTTTATGACTATCCGGATAAGCAAAGGCTAAGCGATGCAGTTCAAATGGACCCGCTTTTGAAGTGTCAATTGCATCATCCACGTTATCTAAGCCGACGTGATAACGAGGGTAATTACCAGGTGGATACTCTAGCTGCAGCAAAGTAACAGAGTGCTGGAGGCCTGCAAATTTATCCTGTGTATCAGCACTTCATGTTGAATATGTTCATGCGCTTGCTTCTGTGCATATATGCTCTTGAAAGATAGCTGCAGTGCAGTGTTTCCATTGTGCACATGTGTTACAGCGTAAAGAGGCGTCCTGCCAAGCTCTGCGGCCTGTTCGTTGTATTCATGAAACCACTTCAGATTTTTCGCAAAGCACGTCCCTTGTGCATAATCACAAAAACCGTCTCTTCCCCATTGCTGCAGTGAAACTCCTGGGAGATCACATGTGCTGCCATCCACTGTGACGTGTTGTTCGTCTAGGACGATCATATGCCTCAGACAGCTCTTGGGGTTACAAAATGGTGAGCCTGAAATTAAAAAGCTCATCGGGAGAAGGAACAGGAAAAGCACTTCGTCCCGTAAAGCACTACTGTAGCTTGAAACGCCACAGCCGAAATCGACATTCTTTGTTCGAGGCGCAGCAAACCATGTAGCGTCAAAATGAAAACCCTGTCACGAGACTGTATCATCATCTCACCAGATTTGCACAGTCTGGCAAGATCTGGATTATCCGTCTCGCTTACTCCCCAGTGTGATAGGTCCTCGGAGTCTGAGCATCCTTCCTGCAGACCAATTTACATGCTTTGCCACAAAAGTGCAACAGCCGTTGGTTTCCTGATGAAGAATAACTCTACGCCGTAGAAAGAACAAAAAAACTGAAATAGTTTCACTGCGAATGCAGAATAATGGAAATGCTAGAAAAGATACTTCAGCCTACCGTTATAAGGGATTCTTGCACCCAGGCATTTGTTGAAGGGGCTGTTGGTAAAAAAACGTATTTGCCCTTAATATTTGGCTCCTGTTAGTGCATAGTTCTCACATAATCCTAAAAGGGCGCGGAATGTTCTGCCTCATTGTGCGTGCGTTATCAGGAGTAAAAGGACGCATGCAACCAAGGAGGACAACGAAATGTTGCTTAGACGCGGTAATGCAACTCACAGGGGATTCCGGTACTTCTGAGCTAACTAGACGCGCTGTAACGTCAAATGTTGCTGCATTGATTAGACATCGTACATGCATTCACACGCCGCTTTAACATCTCGTAATTCTTTATGAAGCGAAAAACCATTAAGCTGGAGATGCGCAATCAACAAAATGTGCGTGCACGATTGATAGAGGAAAGGGCATTTTGTTTTAATTTGAAGAGCTACTCTGCCTTACTGTCTCTTGCAACACTTTTGGCATCTGAAAGCTCGAGAATGGCGTCCGCCATCCCCGCTTCGGTGTGAAGCCGCTGAGAGCAATCGAAATTTTGAGGGTAGCTCCCTTCCTGAACTCTTTTCTCACACTCTGCTTTATATTCTTCATCTGAGAGGCTTGATGGGTTGGGTGGCCCTGCGCATGCAGTGGATGAACCAAGCTCTTTAAGTTTCAATTAGCCTTTGTTCTACCGACTGTACGCGATTTTCGCGTGGGTAAGTCCACTGAGGCATGCCAGGTTAGAAAATGGGATAAACTTACTCCACCAAGATATTCCGACGAGGATCTTAAAGAACCATGTTCTATTTTCGCTGACCTTTAGCATACGATACCACGGATATTCAACAACCGGGCAAAATTTTGTCAGGTAGGGATCCGGGATTTTTCCAAATCGTAATCCTAGGAAAAGGCTCACAGTACAGAACAAAAAAACGCTATTTACCTGCACCAAGAGAGCAGTGGCATAGATACTGCTATGTCACGAGTGCCGGTGCGGTGCAGTGCAAATTTAGAAGTGCCACGTATCGAGCCTCCTACCCAGCCACTAACCAGGCTCGTCTAGCCAAGCTCGTCACCACTACAATAAATGAGCAGGCAAAATTTTACCTCTTTCCCTTGCAAGCACTCACATGCCTACGTCTATTCTCAACACCGTACTGGCCTACCCCAAAAGTTGCACTTTAGCATCGGCTCCCTGCCCCTATTAGGGTTGTTTAGCCAGAGATGCCAGACGGAAGGACACCAACAACATTTCCCCTGAGCTCCATCAACAGGAAGGCCCGTATTAGGACTAATGGGATATCCATTTTCCCCATGCTCATCCTGGCACTTGGAACCCCATGTCTGCGAACAGAAGTTTTCCCCACCGTCTTTGACCTGCCATAGTAGAGCACGATGGGCGTACTCTATCCAGTTGAATGGCACTGCCTGAGAGTTCAAAAGGTAGACACGCCTCAAAAACTCTCAGCAGGAAGATTGCCCGTGTGAGCGTCTACTGCAAGGAATTTTGTAATGATTGGCGCACATGTGTTTACCCAGCACAAACGGCTCGTCAGTTGAACCAAGAAGCAAGTGCTTTGCTCTATCCAAAAGCCCAAAACTCGCTGTGCCTGGTAAATGCCAAGCATATTCTTGGCTTAATACATTAATTAAAAAGACTTTCGTGGGGCCTTAAAGCTTGAAGTCTACCTTGACATAAGTAAGGTTGTACGAGTAAGATACGGCGGTTTTTTGTACAGTTACAACAACTCCGGCATTGCCTGCATCGCTTTTTCTGGGGGACCGATTGTTAATATCCCCTGCTTCCCACTGAAACTGAAGTTTCTGAGAAAACCCCGACAGCAGCAGGGCAGCGACAAAGTACCGCCCGTGATTACGGCGATCTAAGTCCGGAACAGGCAGGGCTGTTTGTGTGAAGCTGCACAGGAAACTCCCACTGTATACTCTGCCGAGATTTTTAGGTGTTTTATGCTTATGATAATTCTGGAATCGGTGACGATTCGGGGAGCGGCTCAGCCGTACATCCAGGTTGTCCACATCAAGCTCAACAATTAGCCTGTCTGTACACCCTAAACCTCCAGAAGAGCACACTGTCTCTACTTTCGAGGTACCCTGGCCTGAACACTCCAATGTCTGTGGTGCCAAGCTTAAGATGAGGAGGAGAAGAAGCATTGTGGTGAGCCAAGGCTTCCTGCTCAGGGTTGCGGATTTACGAAGGGAGTCGATGGTGCCTTTTCCGCATTTACAATCCTCTACCAGATGAAAGGTAGGACTTATTTATTGAGTTTTTTCCATGTAGGCCACTGCGAGTTGCTGTCCGTGACAGTGTTTCCCCGTCAAGGCAGCCTGGGTTTCTGAAGTCTTTGGCGCCGATCACGTATGCGTCGTCCAGCTTGCTCAATAGGGTCCGACCCTCTTTGTGTTTGCCCAATAGTTGTTGAATCGTCCCATTCTTACGTAGTTCTAGTTTGCCTCAGCAGTTTTCCCCTCTGCTGCGCTGTTGCTTGCGCTCGTTTCCCCTGGGTTCACCTCAGTTGCATTTGGAGCTGACGTATAAACGTGTTCTCAGTGCAAAACTCAGGAATTATTACGAAGCGAACCAAAAGCACCAAGTACTTGAGGCTCTTTTTCAGCAACTCTTACTGATCAGGCAAAGTTATCTTCACTGGCATGCGGGGCGAAGCGACTGCAGTCATAGATGGAGCTTACTAAGTTCCTAATTACAAAAAAATGAGTCCATCAGTGCTTAGTATTTCAGAGAGGTAAAAGGAGCAGAGAGCTGCCCCTGATATCATTCATAAGCATTCTGAGTAGCGACTGTGTGTGTGTCGAGGAGTTCCGCCTCGCTGGGCAATCGGATTTACTAGCCAGCTAACGTTGCTTCCACTGCACTTCAACTCACAAATATTCCAGACGCTTGAGTAAATCGAATTGCCTCCGTTAAAAGCCAATAATTCTAAGCGATGGCAAAGTGCTGAACACCGTTCGCTTGCCCTGATGCCTCTTCATGCACGGATTTCCGTGCCAGGTACGCAGTGTCGTTACCAGCGCCAAAAAACTGGCCTTGCTCGAGAAAATGTGGGTTTTTAGGCCCTCACTGCACTATATTTTCACGCACTATGTAGAAAGTTTGTATATTTGGGTATTTACTTTGGAATGGGTCAAATTTCTCGACAACCTTCTTGCTGCACGATGATCATGGCAAAGAGCTTGAAAATCTTTGCTTTCTCCATGGGTAGTCAGTTATGTGGCTGTCGCTCTCGCTGAAATGTTGCTGGTGAACAAACAGTCTGGGCAGATGCATAACAAGGCGCGTTCACACACTCAAGCTACTGTTACTCGTATTGAACAAAAGGCTGTCCACTCTGCAGGCAGGCCAAGCTTTGTAGTGCGCGGGGAATAAGCTGCTGTATTACATGTGGCCTAAACCTTCAACAGCAGATGAACCCGAATACATGCACCGAAACCTTTCATCTGTCTTAGGGACTTTCATTAAGCGCAAACTCAAGTCGCATAGTCGTCAAACATAGATTTCTCTCTCTCAGGCCATCCCCTTGAGGTCCGAGACTAAACCTCCCCTGGCTGGGACAGTGCATCTGCAGCCCGCATGGCACCTCAATCTGCCTGGTGCCTCGACTCGCAGCGGGATGCTGGGGCTGCGCCTCAGCCACGGTGGAAGGTAAGCCGGTTCTACGGGGTTCCCTGTTCTTCTCTACTTCTGGCCTCCAGAGGCCCAAGGGAACCCATTGTACTGCTCGTGCGCTACAAGCTGGCTCACGCAGGCTTGCGCCTGTTGCGGTACAACTCCACAATATTCAATTAACTTTTTCATTGTCACAGGGTTCTTCGATTAGATCCCTTCAGCTCAGTCATAAAGTTCCCCAAAATTTCCACGGACTCAGGGCGTAACATTTCGAAATCTACAAATTCAAAATACCTTCCCATAGAGCATTATTACATCCAGCAGTATTAAGTGAAGGATTTTCAATATGTTGCAAATGTACTGTTTCTAATGCCGCTGTGGAACCATGCTCCAGCTGCTGTGGCTAAGTCAGCCTACGTAGCAAAAAGCACGATTAGTAGACTGCGAAAGCAGGCATGAATACAATCAAATTCATTACACTCTGCAATCAGTGTGGGTAATAGTGCCCCTCATGGTCTTTGATTTTTCATTCCATAACTCTACGACCATGTCCGCGACTGCCGGCCTTATTAGAATGTGCGTCGCTGCTCGTTTGGTGCTTGGAGTTCACCGAACTCCTCCTGTCTCGCATGAACGGCATATCGCGCGTTTTCTTCTCGTGTAAGAAGCCGGTAACTCCACCAGTGAAAGTGTATGCTCCATATTCAACTAATATCTCAAGACTTGCACATTTTAATCTTTCTTACATACAAATGGCAACACTTGCTCTGTGTAGGCGGGCCAGCGGCACTTGGCGCAGAGCAGCGTAGTGAGTATCCTAGAGGTACGTGCATGGGATACGCCACTGATAAGTGAACGTCACAACCTTCACTGTACACCTTTTCGTCAGTCGACGGCTGCTATGCTGCATTCCGAGGTCACCCAGCTCCTCCGTACGCGATTATAGAAAAGCTCCTGTTGTCTAGAGTCTGAAGTGGGATATTTTCTCAGAAAATGTACCCTAGGTCGCCTGAATTGGGGTCTTTCGTGTTCCTATTTAAAATGCCTGGTGGAAGATTTGGGCATTGTAGTTTTTACCTGATACGCAACAAAGTGATTTTCGCATATCTGCCAAGTACTTAATGCCTTACGGGACTCATATTAGTTTACCTTGACGACTCGCTAAACGCTTCTCGGCAAAACAAAATACTGCACGCCTCTCATACAAATCCTGTTGTACGTGTGAGTTGCTAAACGCTCCTCGGAGAGTAAAATCTCTGCAAGCTCTTGCATAAATCTTGTTCCCCTCATGCTGGGTGGGCAACGCGCGTTGGCAAGGGAGCCCCTTGAAAGCAGAAGAGAACCAGCTGCGCAACAGGCGTTACGAGGCCTGCCCTTTGGAGGGCTAAAGTATGTTTGTGTGACTGCGGGTCTCGATAGGAAATTTGTCCTCAGTGACACTGGCTCTGTAATGCGTAGCTTGGACGCAGCTGCAGCCACCGAAGTCTTTCTCCTGCCGGAGGCACGTGAAGTGGAGTTCCTTTTAGATGCGCCAAACGTTGGACCTGACCCCACAACGACAGAGAGCACGCAGCTGTTTCTTCCTCCTTTAAAGGGTAATCGCACCATTACGCAATGGTGCGCCGATTCGTGGGAACCGCTGTTCACTAGGGTCCATTCACTAGGGACTTTGCTGGTGTAGCAGAGCCTATTCAGCGCCTCGAATGAGACATTTCCTTCATGGGAAGCAGCGTTGATCGCACTAGGCAGACACGACAAACGTGGGTGTGAGAGCCCTCTTTGTGTTGCAAATCATTTTCATTGGGCAGTGTACCCTCTGCTGCAGTCTGGTCTCTGGAGAGATTCTGTTTGTATAAAAAAGGCTCAACGAATGCTGTGTCCAAAGACCACAGTCGCCTTCATCGACTGTTACAACTCCCTTTGTAGGGCGCAAATCTGTCATAGCTGCAGGAAAGGATATTGGTGCTGAAGTTTCCCCTAGCGGGTATTGTCCTTCCTCTGGAGGAGAACTACTAATTCAGGAAAAAGCAAACTGCATATTGACAGAGGTGAAAAGGAAAAAAAGCGTTGGATAGACGTGAGGCGAGAGCCTTTCAGGACGCATGTAGTCGTGGTCATGTAGCATGAGCCACGTGTACCTCGGAAAATCGTGCAGTGACCAGTTTTCCTGTATTGCCTACAGTAATCTACCAAGAAGACCTGCTATGAATTCCTGTAGGGGCTATTTGATCCGGGCAGTGCCGGCTCCCGTGTCCTAGCCGTGCCCGCAGCGTGACAATACTGCTACCGCAGGTCCTCATACAGTTAGCACTCAGCTATAGCTCATATACCACCTATAATATTCTATAGACACTATCAAGCCATATCTTTCCAGTTCTATCGGTTACTTTCGCGATTTGCTCACGCCGGCAGCAGGCCACCCAGGCTACATCCAGTCTTGCTGGAGCGCTTCGTCAGTAACGTAACTATAAAATGCTCCAACTCTTCCTACACATAACGTTGTTCACCAGATGCACTGGCGATTTGGAAAAACACGCCGCTTGCTGACTGCTGGACTAATCGGATGGTGTAAAGCTCGGTCTATGTGAGAAACACTATATGAGTGTGGAAGTGCCTGTGGCGCAGAAAGAGGCACGACAAAGTGACGTGTAAAAAATTTTAAGCTCCTCTTTGCAGGTTGAACTATCCCTGCCGAATGACCTGGTGCAAGACTTGGTGAATGAGGCGCTGGGAGGCACTCAGTTTCTTGATGCACACAAGTTATGCAAAAACCGTATCCAGGCAAGAGCACACGTTCAAGCGTTTGTGGAGGAAAATTCTCTCTCAGCACACTGGCATGTTTAGTCTTCGAAACTTCCCAGCTGATTGCAGCGGTACGCCTGGACTTCTCAATCACGCAGAAACACCGTAAAATTGGCGTGAAGGCATACTCCAGTGGAATGGGGATAAGTGCAGTTGTTACAGTTGTTCACGTCTCAAATGTTGTTCGATTTTTTTTAAACATGCATTGCTCTACCGTTCCCTCAACCGCTGGGAGGTGATTCTCGTCTACGCAGTACAACCCTGTCCAAGTGTCGTGGCTCCTGCTGAATTTTGCCTTCGCAAGGCAGAAACCTCTGCAAGCTTAATTTGAAGACCTTGAAGGCTAATGGAACTGGCCTTCACTTTTAGCGGATAAAAACTTGATGAAACAAGTGCTTCCGCGCTTTCTCATTATGGTAGATATTCAATTGCACGCAAACGCAGGAATTCGAGCCTGGCGTACTGGCTTTGGTTGCGGCTGACCTACTGAAGTTCGAATGCCAGTTTATATGCGCGAGCAGTAACCAGTGGTGGACAGAAATCTCTGCAACGTTCGAAAAGCGGAATCATGTCAAGTGGCCACGTACTGTGTCGCCACATAATTGACTAGCAGAGACCATCGTGGTAGCTGCTTCAGCACTTCTGAATTTTTTCGTAACATTTCTACGTCACCATCAAATGAAAAAAATCAACGAAGTCGGCTTATTTTTTCTCATCCGCATATCAGCCAGCCCCACGCATTCACAGGCATCCGCATAAGGCTTATTGTCATACTTGTCATACTTGACAGCCCAATCGCTTGCTGTAGGAGCGGATAGGCAATGACCGCCTTGGGCGGTAATATATCTAGCGCTCTAACAATCATATGCTCGCAATTTTAGCATTTGCTGCGAACGGGGAACCTTAAGCACAGGCGGCGATTGGAGAAGCTTTCTCTTCGGGCATGTGTGCTACTTAGCCTCCTTGCCCAGGCGAAAATAGATTTTGGAAAGAAAAGTCGAGTAGCCGAACAAAGAAGGCGTAAGGTGTTAGCAGAAAAGTCAGACTCCTGGGAACTCTTCTTTCTTGGATTCTCCTTTAAGAGACACATGAGCTAATCTTTCTTTTTGCCCGTATAAGTGCATGCTACGGTTGTGATTATCTTCACCGAAAAAGCTTTCATTGCTGCTGGATTCGCTGTCACTATCGCTGGGCAGCAAATTCCCTCCTAAGAGTGACAGTCTTAGAGCTGAAAAACTACTTTTTCTCTTGTCTCTCACTGCAGTGTTTGCTGCTGCTGTTTGAGGGCTATTGACTGCATCTTCAGCAAAGGTGCTAGCTGGTGCTGCTGTGGCTGATGATGGCAGTGAGGAATGATGACCAACCTGTTCTGCAGAAGCGTTGCCTCCTTTCTGTGTTTGGCCTCCTTCGAAGATCCCCACCATGTAGGCAGTGATTAAACACGCAAGGAGCACAACCAAAAAATAGATTGCCACAGTTCTGAGCAGCAGCATTATATCTTCAGGATTTTCCATATTCACTATAGGGGTAGCGGAGGAAGTAAATATAAGGCCCATGGTAGTTGTTGTAGTGGTTGTTGTGGTGGGCCCATACGCAGCGGCGCAATTCGCATCACAGTATTCCAATACAAACTGTTCCTCAGGACATCGTTGCCCTTTTCCTGTTGCCTGGCGCGTAACCTGATGTATCTGAAGCGTTCGGCAGGAGTTGCAGTGCGACTTGGGAGAAAGTACCGATGTACAGTTTGTGCTTGTACTCGAAGATTCGGCTGCTTCCACACCCACTTTGCTGGACATGCTCTGAGGATACACTGGCCGTGACAGAATTCTATGTTCTAATCCGCTCGTGGACTCGGAAACAGAGCAGAGTCCACCACCTGGAGCAGAATGGTAGCGCAGATGAGCAAACGCAAGATGTTGTAACGCAGCTTCTTATTTGTGCACCTTACAGCCTTCTCTCCAGTGGGTCTTTCAAGATCTCGTACAGCTCAATGTGCTTCTGACTACGGACAAATATATTCTTTAAACTCAGGTGAGAGCTGGAGGACGCCTGTAGAGTTCCAGCGTCAGCATTCGGGCGCTCTCTGTTACCTGTACACGGCTCCAATTCATGAGAAGGGCAGGGTCTGCCACCCCTTTTTGGAGGAGAGACAACGTTAAACTGCCGCATTCGAGTACAACTGATATCACAAATAGACCACTCTTCCCACTCGCCTTGGCAGTCTAGGGCCTCCAACGATGAGGGGAGCATTACTGGAGCTTCGCAATCCTCCTGGTTCCCCAGAAAACCACCTCCAGCGCAAGCTAATAGAGGTGTTGAATGCAAACGGATCTCAAGAACTCCTACACTCCAGTTTCCGGGTTGTGCAGAAGAATTCGGCGTAACCGGGGAGGCCCTCAAATGCAGCACATTGACCCTCTTCAGAGAAAGGTATCTAGTGACCCATGCAAGGGATCCAGCGGGTGAATCAAGAGGAGCAGCGCTGAACGACGATGAGACACTCAAAAGCCAGTTTCCTTCAGCGTCTATGATGCTTAGCACTAGCGAAACACTGGCACGTTGTATGTAGATCTCCACGCCCTCGAGGTTCACTGGTTGCGCTAAGCGGATCTCAATCGATTCCATTCCTGGCCCCAAGTCTACTTTTGTTACTAAATCCTTATCCAAAAGCTTATCACCACTAGTTGCTGCATTATTTGGTGAGAATGTGGCTCCTTCTCGCCAATCTGGGCAGTCGCCACCTTCGCAGTGAACGAGTCGGAATGCATCAGCTTCCCAAGGGCACCCACTACTATTGCTTAGGCTCCGAAAGAGATGACGCTGCAGGCACGAGGAAGGGCATGTGGAGTTGCCAGCCTCCCACCTGCAGACCCAGCAGCCGTAATAGCGTTTCTAAATAACTGTGCCACGCCTGCAGGAAGTTCTTGGACGGTCCAAGCCTACCTATACTATTTGAATCTTTTGTAGGAAAGTTAGGCACTGGCTGCGTAGGGGTTGCACCCGCGAAATGTGGAACTATCCTGTGTTCGCGGACTGTCCTTGGCAGTCTTGTTCACCCTGCTCCACCGAAATGACTACAGCTCTTGAGGTGTCCGACGGCGTCCAGTCCGGCAGCAATATCGAAGGCCCGACGAACGGCGAATTATTCTCTTTAATCGAACCTAACCAAAGAGCACTAGCATCAGAGAGCCTCAGAAGAGGATGTCCATATGTCTGACCAAACAGGGCACCCCAATACACGCCAGCGACAGCAGTTGTAGCAGAAAGTTCCGGGACGCCTGCATTTGATAGGTCCACAGTGGCTGCCAGTGCTTCTTCATCTAAGTAATTCGCTACCGTGAGCACTGCAGTGTGTAGGGACAGCGAAACGGCGTCTGGATTCATTAGCCGCTGCTCCAACACAGGACCCAGAAGTGGAACTGGAGCCCCAAGGCCACTTTCATCCACCCACAGCGCTGCCTTCAGAGTTGCACTTTTTGCATTAAGGCCATCTATATCTGATTCGATCCAAGACACTTCCCGCCAAACTAGCACCCACTTGCCTCCGCCCACAGGCAGCAGTCTTGCTCCAGTGTCGTTGTAATACAAAAGCGAGTCGTCTGGGAGGTCTGATTGCTGAGTCTCCGCTCGGTACCTGCCCATGCTATCCACTGCAAGCCGGCCATTGATGGATATTCCTTGCATGGGACCTCTGCCGCTAACGCACAGGGAAGCCCAGTTGCGTGTTTCCGGGTGTATTGAGGCCACTGAGTAGAGGCAACTCTCGCATTCACTCTTTTGCAGCTGTTCCTTTTCTGGCTCGCCGATACTATTCAAAAGAAGTGTTTCGCAGTTAGGGGTTACAATAACTTTCTCCTCCTTTCTCTCCCATCTTTCCCTCACCACAGTGACGGCAAACTGAGTCTGTTTAAGCCCTGCATTCCCAGTAATTTCACCCCCAACAATAGATGCGCGCTGCTCCTGCTTATATGGTACCACTGCATCATCCGCTACAGTTCTGATCCACTGCAGGACTCCGTTTCCATCGAATTCTGCTAGAAGCAAGGAGCCATATGGCACGCTAGTAGATGAACCCAAACGGATTCCATGACGTTCCCAGGCATCCTCCTTTGTGGCGTGCCAGGCAGCGGCGTCCTTTGCGCTTGATCTCGATACGAAAATGTTGCCAGCACTCATTTTTGTAGGTGCTGTAGGAACAGAGTTGCATTCCCAGCCATGTCCGCCATCCAAACTGTAGCCATAGCATTCGCCGTTTCTTTCTCTGACAGTGGCGCCTGTCCCTTGGCAGATTCGAGCTCCGTTGGGTGCTAGCATCCCTTCATAGAAGGATGAAAGGCAAGAGGGCTCTATTTCCTCTTGAAATATAATTTTGCAACCATCTTCTTTGTTGCATTTGCATGTTTCTTCTTTTGTGGGGCATGTTGCACTCCAAAGGAGTAATATCACTCTGTCGATTGAGCCATTTTTCTCCTCTGCCCACAATCCCACTCCCCGAACTTCTGGGAGGTCTGTAGAGCTCAGCAATTGGATCTGCGACCTGTTCCAGTTGTCTGATGGATCTACTCGCTGCAAGTTTATGTCACATCCGAAATACACCTGTTCATCCAATGGGGGTCTTGCTGAATCATGTGCGTCTGCTCCGCTGCAGCTATTAAGCATCAGCAAGAGTTTTCCACTGGGAAGGGATACAAAGGATAGACGCTCCACAGCGCGAAGACCCTCGACTGTCGTTACTGATTCGAGTTCTCGGGTGGACAAAGCATTCTTGATCCGTGCAGGGCTGGCCGTGCCAGTGTTAACTATATAATTCCGTAACGACATGGAATGGCATGGTGTGAGGCAGTAAAGGAGCCAAGAAGATAGCCATGGCAATGAAAACTGTACTAGGAGGTGCAGCGGTAAGCCTACCATTCTTTTCCTAGGGGAGAGATGCGAGCACCTGCCATGCCACAAGCGGCAATAAAATGTCGATACGTTCTTCTCTATTAGAAAAATCTCTGGCGCTTTGTACTGGATTCATTTGAACAGTAGTAACCGTCCTCGTGCGTTGGCAAGCCAAAATTCTTACTGTCCAGATGGCGTGGGGCCAGCTTCTAGCCCTGCAAAGATATTATCTCTTCAGCATACGGTCGTCTGCCTTCTAAAAATTGGTTTTGCTCGAGCAAAACATTCTCCTCGATATTTAGCTGTCATTTTGCGTAGCTTGGAGCAGCAGTCCAAGCCTCCGACGTCCCAGGTGGCAGGCCCTGCGTATCCCAAGCATAGCAGTGCACAGCGGCAAAAGCCCTCAGTTGTAGGCAACACTAGAGTTTAAAAGCCCCAAAACAACTATATATAGGGGTCACTATCTTGAAGGCAATGCCTTGGTCCGTTTTGGTTGTTCTCTAAAATGAGTTCGAGGTGACCTTCCAGTGGCTCAAGCCCGAAGCAGCGTGTTCGCAGATTACCTTCTCAAAGAATCGCTTCTGTGCCATTGGTGTAGTACACTTATTGAAATGAATAGATTTCATGCCAGAGTTTCTCCTCGAACTTGCTTTTTTGCTCGCGTACTCCGGTGGGTAGCGTCTACTACGCGTGTCTTGGAACTTTGATCGCCCGAGCCCGCTCAAACTCTGCTTAAAGTTCAGGCTACCGATGCTGTGCACGTTCATGCTGCATAGATATGCTTTATTAAGTAATCCGGTTATACAACCTTTAGTTTTGACTGTTCCGCAGAGCGTGGTGAGTTTCCACAACCCATTTTCACTAAAATCACCCCGCATTCTGAACGTTGCAGCAAGCATTCACATACTGCTTATCAAGTTCGTATTCATATACACAGTGCAGGTAGTTTGCTGTATAGCAAATCGTAGTTTACGCTCGATGCTACCCTCTAGAACGGTGTTTCATCAGCTTGTGCCATCGACAGTTCGAAAGTTCGTCCAAACCCCACTGCTAGTGTAAATGGCTCACTACGAGAAGGAAAAACGAGCCCGACACATTCCTGCCGTGCTGACTAATTTGTATGAAGTGCTCAAGAAGCGGGGTTAAGGGATATGCGCTGCGCTTCTTGCTCATGCGCATACTGTTTGGAACAACTCCTGGAGCGAATATAGGACTTCCGTGCTCATTAACTAACCTTCAATACTGCCATTTTACTGCATAGAATAATCCTACGCTTGTGAGGATTTTTTCTTTGGTTGGTCTTTAAGAAATTCTAATGCGGCCGAGTTTTAATGTAATCGGGGGGGAGCTAGCGATATTTCACACAAGCGTGATCATGGTTCGCTGGACACTGGGTTGCCGAGCTCCAAATAAATCATCTCAACGCTCACAAATAACATGGCTGATCGCAACTCAGATGCGAATTTCGCTGCTGCGGACTTCGGCCTTTCCACGGGCAACTCACCGCGCACGCAGTGGGGAGAAGGCTCTCCTGCGGTTACACGCACAAGTTTCTCCAATATTCAGGCTTAAAACCATGTAGCTCTTGGCCATAGTGTCAAATCGTTTCACATGTTCGGGCTTCTGAGGTGTCTGTCTCGCGAGAGTTCTCCAGAGATTGCGTGGCTTGCCCGCCGTAGCTCCCGAAGCTCTCGCATGAGTCCCAAGTAGTCATCCAGCCCTTTTGCTGGCTTCATCCCTTCTGAAGCCCCATTCTCGTACATCTTTATTGCCATTCGCTGCACGTTCTCCGCACACAAAAAAGGCAGGCAGCACTGCACACAATGATGAACATTTATTGGGGTGGAGTCCTACTGGCAAAGCATGTGCAGCGAAGGAATCTGAGAGGCGCATCGTCGCACCTCCCCAGCGTTAGATGTTGCGAAATAATCTGCAGCGCTGTCTAAAGAGTCTTGTTTCCACAGATGGCCTCGCGGTGGGGAATCCCCATAACGCCAGGAGTACAGGGGGTTACTTCCACTTTCTCTAGTATGCGGGCTCTCTCTCTCCCACTGAGGGATATGTGCGCCAAGACTGGGGCTGTTGGCGGCCTCAGAGTTTTGAGCCATTCCAACTGTCGGGCCTATGCTGTTCCACACGGACTGCTTATTTTCTTCTGCTGCTTCACTTTCGGCTGGAAATGAAGATGTTGTATCTTCAGCCCACCAGTGGTTTGATTCGTGTAGTCTATAGGAGTGTACCCCTGTCTCTGGGTTCCAAAGCAGCTCCTGGCATGCATCTTCCACCAGTTCCACTGTGAGTCTGTTCCGTAGGAGCAGCCGAGGAATAGTGCCGCCCCTTGCAACTCGGTGGCACAATAGGTTATATATGCTTTCTGTGGGAATCCCTCTACTTACGGCCGTGTCTCCTGCTTGTTGAGAGTGTAACCGAATGAGCTTCAAAACTTCTTTCCTTATGTAGTGTTTTAAATAGAAGTGCTGGGCAAAATGGCCAGTCACCACAAGAAGTGAGAGCATCATCAAGAGCGCCAGAAAGTGTTCTTGAGCCAGTTGACTTATTCTGCAGCTCAGAGGCTTCCTTAGATCTGAGCCTTTGTAAGTGTAGGTAAATGTGATTCCTTTAGATCTGCTTTGTTCCTTCATAAGGCGCTCGTGAAGTCCAGGGAAGTCTACTGGATTTGCAAGAGGAACAAAGAGATATTGCCTTTCCACCTGGGCACGTGTCGCAAGCCACAGATCACTCAAACTAAGAGCCGCCAGTTGGCTCAACCTCGAAATTTAAGCGCTCTACAGTGCGAAACATTGCATCACTCGCTCTTGAAACTCCGTACTTTACTAAAAGTTTTACGAGGGCGTATGCAGACTGCAAACTCCTTTAGCGTGTAGATTTGGCCTTCTTCTATCAGCTTTTTTCCGACCTGAATATTCAATTCATCAGCAGCCTCTGGGCCCAAAAAATGGTAGAAGAGCCAAAAGTAAACTCCCTCGTGCGCAATAGCTGGGGCAATCTCCGGATGAAAATGCATCTGCCAGCGAGTGAGGCCAGGGCCACTACACATCTGTTTGATAGCGTTGCTCCATGGCTTTCCTCCAAGCTGCTCGGATGGGCTAAAGAGCGGATCTAGAGGGAGACCGCATTCGTACCTTCCTTGTCTTTCCTTAAGGACCTCCATCAGTATTTTAAGAACTTCTTCTGCTTTGGCTTTTGATGCGAGGTCCTCGGTGCAGGTTTGTAATGATGTTTCCTTTGTTTTCGAAGACTTATTTTCCTGACTATTCGTATATCCAGGGAGGCAACTAAGCTTCCCGTCTTTACATTCCGCATTTTCAGGACAGACAGTACAATTTTGGGGTGTTGTGCTGCCTTCTGTGGCATTGTCGCTGTCACAGAAAACCGTTTCAGCATCCTCTCTTGCAGTAATTTCTTCTTGAGCAGGGATGGTGTCCTGCTGGGCTGGTTTGCCTTCAGGTTTGCGAAGAATAAAAACCGTTGAGAGAACAGCAATCTGCAGAGCCAATTTCCAAGCTGCACGTTTTCGGCCTGTGATAGATCTCCTTCGTTGGGACGTTCTTTCATTGGCTACAGTGGTATCCTTCTCAGGAGGAATTCCACTGCTAGTGATGCTTGTTCCCTTCTCAAACGAAATTTGCTGAGGGCAAATCAACGAAGAAGATACTCGAGGGCCTGAGCCCTCAATCCTGGCTTCGCATCAGAAAAGTCACGAACAAACAGGCCGTTGCCATATTTGGAGTGGGTTTCTCGCAAAACAGTGTGCTGCTAGTCTTCTCCTCAAGTTATATTAAACTTAGGAATGGATAGAGACTCAGCTACTCCTGTTTGTGTGGCCTACATGCCTAGTTACGCACCCTTGCTGTTGATTTATCAAACTCTCTAGGGCGCAATGGCGGCTTCAGTCCTCCTCTGCCTACAACGCGAAGCACTCCGGGAGCTTTTAAGTCAGAACGCGAAAGCCGCATGTAACAAGTGCGACTGTAGACGTCATTTGATCGCTTCTAAAATGCATGGCTTAAGAGCACTCACTTTCCTTATCAGTAGGAGCGTTTATTTCCTTAGTCATCTCTGACGAGTCGAGTCAATTTGTATGGCGTGGCAGTTTACTCATAAATGGACCAACTGAGGATGCAAGTGCCTCGGCTTCGAGTCTTTTAATTTAAAAAAGTAATCATTAATACAGCAAAACACAGCTTGTGAAATTAACGCGCGCTCCTTAGCTCCGTAACTCCGTATTTCAGCTAATAAGTACCATTCTTGCAGCAAAAGAGCGAGTCATTTCTTTCCTGCTTGGCAAGGAAGGTGATGGAGCTCGGTGAAGAGAATCTCAATGCAGCCGATACACGTCGTGAAAAGCGATGAAATTATGGAGTTCCTTTCTTTAGGCTGGTTCCGATATGCGAAAAGAATTGATCGCGAGCAAGGGAGCTGGGTGCTTCATCCCTCTTGCTACTAGGCTCAAGATTCCAAGGACAGCACGCGTGCTCGGCGCCGACACTGAGCATTCACCTGATCCTACGACTTGGCCTACCTAGTTAACTAAAAAGTGAAAATGTTAAGAAATCCATTAAGGGTCGTTTGGAAAGTTCGTGCCCTCCTTGCTGGGGCTTCACATTGATTGATGCGGAAGTGACTCCATCCCGCGCGTTGCGGAGCTGGCTATCCTTAGGCCAGACAGCAGCAAAAGCAAGCAAAACCCCCCGCGGCTCTTTCCTGATAACCACATATCTAAACTTTACGTATAATAGTTTTTGTGTTGCGGACATCACCCTTACGTAAGCTGCGACGAGTGCTACCGGGTGCTATTTCTCCGGGAGACTCAGTAACCTAAGGGCCGTTGCACCAGTAAACTTGCTTGGATGAATTTCGTGACTTATTTCCTACAAAGAATTTTTAGTGAAGTTTCTACACGCTTCACGGGAGCGACGGTTGTGTCGTGAAACAGCTTTTCGAGCCAGCTGTGCCTCCCATTGTCTCTCCACCACGGTGCACGATTGCTGATAAACAATGGAAAAACTTTTCCCCTTCTGTGTTTATTTCAAGTGGTAAGGGTAGCCTCGTGGTTTTCCCTATGCAGTCACTGAGGCATGCACTGCGGAAACGTCGCAGGAGAGCTCAAGCAGCTTGCTTCAACAGCCACTGCAGTAGATTGCTGTACCTGCTTGCTCTAAGCTGTTTGGCAGCCCACTACAAGGTCAACCATAATTTCAAGATGATGTTTGCCTTCTGAAGGGCAACATTTGTGGCAGCACTGGCGTGGACTGGTTGTATCGTGTGATTTACAACGGTGCAACGGCTACACCATTTCCCGAAATCTTCTCGACCCCTCTGTTGTTAATCTATCCTCAAGATCCACTATCTGCCTCAAGCAGCAGTGTCGCGGATGCAGCAGAACTCGCACACCTTCGATCGCTAATGCAGTGACATCTGGCCCCCTACTTCGGCGGCCATACGCCCTCAGTTGCGGTGTTCAGGCTGGGCAAAATTAAGCAGATATTTATTCCTGTGTGCTTTGCTGGCCGTGAGCATTCTTTTGACAATCTGCTCGCGAATTGCTCCATCTTCGTGTCCCAGCGTGTGAACTCGGAAGGCGTGCGGCGTAACGCGCACCCTCAAATTCATTAAACTGACGATTTCAGGGATTTGACGTAGCCCCTGACAGGTTTGGGTCTCATGGATTCGCATGGCCAAATGGTCTACACTGCATAGAGCATGCCAAAATTCTCTTGGCGCTTTCTTCTAGAGCTGTCCAATGCTTTTGGTTGGCTCTTGGCTTCGTAAACTCTAGCATCGACTAAAAATTTTGGTTCCTAGGCAGTTAGCCATACGCACAGCAAACTGTAGAGTGGGATATGGAGAGGGTGATAGCACATTTGAGTGTATCAAGTCGCTGGACACCTTGGGCCGGTAAAAGCCAGAAGCTTGTACACAATAAGGCGATATCGCAGACGCTTTTGTGAGAAAAACTGTTGGCAGGTATGAGGTAAAGATCCGAGGCTGCTTCAATAATTCCCACTAAGAGAGTTCCAGTGCAGCGACGAGCTCCCTTCTTTCTAATGCAAAAAACTATTGTTCTCTATAAGCACTTCTTGGACTCGCATTAGGAAAGATTTGTGACTCTTAGCTGTGTGAGGAAGCTGCTTTCCGTGCAAATCATTGTTAGCGCTAGATTAAGTACTTCCATGGTCCACCACTAACTTTCGTCCGCAGCCATTTTGCTGCTTTTAGCCTGCCGTATTTTCCTTGCTTTCCTGCTTCTCCTCCTTCTCATTCTGTGCCTCACTGAGCTCATTTTCCCGCTGCGCATTCGCTTCACGTAAGGCCCTTGCTGCCTTCAGTTCATCCGAGGTCACTGCACTGCCGTTAATCCAATGCAATCGAGGAAGAACTCGTAAGATTTCTGCCCTAAAATGCTCCTCCTCCATATACGGGTCTGTAGAGGATAGACAAACTTCCCTAAGCTTAGGGAGTTGAACCAGAACGTTGATCTGGTCTGGAGGAAGGGGAACGCCCTCCAGATCCAGCGTTTTGATTTGGGGTAGCTGCTGTAGCTGTCGTAGCTGCTGCATCGGTGTGTGCGATAAGTAAAGGGATGTTATGGTGTCAGATGGGGGCAAGGAATCTAGAGTCTCCAACGGTGTCCCTCGAAGGCTTAAGTGGGTTAGGGAAGGCGGCTGCACGAAACCCTCTAGTGTGGTAATAGGGTTCGCATCAAGAGCAAGACGCGCAAGTCTCTGCAGGGCCAACCGAGGAACCCTAGATATTTTGTTACTGCTAAGATTGAGGAGGAAGAGGTACGGAAGTGCCTCTGGAAATGAAAAACATGTAATGTCTTCTATTTGGTTCCCTGCTGCGTTCAACGTCAGCAGATAGGGAAGCCTGGAGAAAGGAGTCAAGTCTCTGATTCTGTTGCCAGATATATCAATGTACCGCAGGTGTACATACAGCTGCAATGCATTCGGTAACGTAGTCACACCCTTCCCGCAGCAAGTCAACCGGGTGAAGGCATACCCGCTTCCATCAGCAGTACGAGAGACGTCCCCTAGAGCCTTGTGCAGTAGATCACCACGAAGCAAAGTCCCTGCTGCCTCTGCTCCTGCAGAGGAGTCGCCTGCTTCTCTAGCTCTCCTTCCCCTTGCCATCCCTACCACTCTTACACAACAGATTCCACTTGACTATGGTAACCCACTTAGTAGCAAAAGAACAGAGTGTGGTTCATGAAGAAATTTTAGTTCTCGTTCACTTCCTGTGTACATTATACGACGCGTGTCGTTGCAGGTTGGGCAGCCCTTATGGCCACATTTCCCCAATTCAAACGACGGGCAGCGACGAGTGAAAACCGAAAGTTTCACTTTTCGGTCAAAGGACCTCAGATTACCACCTTATTATGGAACCTGCAGTAACTGTGGGAATGGAAAAAGAGCAACCGCTCCAAAGTACCCTCCCGGCTCGCTAACAAACTTCCAGCGTGGCGGCAATTCAGGGCCAAAGCCAGGCTCAAGCTGTCTGCATGCTGGTACACCTCTGTGCAATGTTTACTTATAGCCTTCATAAATAAAAGAATACCTTTCAGTTTGATTTGCTGTGACGGCAACGCTGCTGCTTCATCCTCGATGCTCTTCGCGAAGGTCACGAAGGTCACGTGCTTGACGGGCTGCCAAAAGCGGCGCTCGAGGGGAACTATCTTGCCAATAACTATTGAAGGGCGGAGTTTGAAGCACTTTACACTTTAATCCTATATTATAGAATCAAACTGGCTATAATGTTCTAGACGCTGCGATTTTACCGGGACGCTGCGAAACTTTCTCATGGGCCAAATTGGTTGCCCGCATGCTCCTGGCTCCGATTTCAAAATTGAGTACATTAAAGCTGCATGCTTCCTCATATAATCGCATCATAGTATATTGGTGTCATCAACTACGTACCGAGAGAAAGTGCATCACCTCCTGTTGCTGTCGTGCCTGTTATTTCTCCTTGTCAGATTGTCTCCTCGGCCGCTGCTTTTTCACTGTCAGAGGTAGATTGAAGCTGCCACTGGTCCAAATTGTGCAGTCCTACGGAGAGAGCATGTTACTGTTGCTCTCGCTGCACCATATGTCTGAGCAGCTCAGCGTTGAGGTCGAATGTCAACAACAGGGGAGCGAGCATTCTGGAAATGAGCCATGACCACTAATGAGCATGCATTTAGTTCAGTTTTCCCTAGAGACTGCGTTCATGCGTCGTCTGTACTGTGGCAAAGAACGTGTGGCCTCTAACCCATGAAACACAAACAATGTGTGCCTTCAGCAAGGCAAAATTGCCCGTTTACCATCTAGCCTTCGTCTTTCTAGATATTGTAAAGCATGTTGGGGCAAGGCTTTCTGGTAGCGATTCATTGTGGCCTGGCACTTTCCCTATTTCTCTAACGGTTTGAGTAGGTGAGTGCTTCCCTGCTTCCCATGAATGTGTACGCAAACACTCCCCACGAGCGCTAACTATTAAATATGAAGCGAGCTTATGGCATGCTGCAGAGCGAAATTCTACCGGAGCTACTATGCAACTTTCTGGAACAGGACTGAAGAATCGGCAACAGATCGGGGATGTAGAATAGGGCCTACATTGAATATGAAGCAAGCTTATGGCATGCTGCAGAGAGAAATTGTACCGGAACTACTATGCGCCTTTCTGGAACACGACTGCAAAGTCAGCAACAGATCGGTGATGTAAAATTGGGCCACACAAAAGGCCTAAGGAAATCCTGCAATGCTGCAGAAGCAGCTGACTCTCAGCAGTCCGGTTCGTCTGCCCCATATTTTATGAATCATTCCACTGTTGCCGTTTCCCTCGAAGTCTTGCTGCGGAGGGGCACTCACATCCAAATGCACAGGTGCGACTGGTGGCTCTGACGGAACGTATGCTTTCATATGTGGGACCTGTTTCTTGCAGAGAGCGGCGAGTATCGTGCGATTAGCTCACGCCATATATATTTATTTGCCTTTGTTGCATAGTCACAGGGAGTTTACAGTGCTGGAAGCGTGCACTCTGGCCACCAAATTATAGTATGCAGTGCAGTTTTCGAAGTGGCTTCCCAACGATGGCAGCCTCTCCCACCCAGAGTAACTCTGGTGGCTCTGAGTAATACTTCATGCACATCGGCTGCCTTCGTGCTAGAGCGCCACAGATGAGCTAGCTGATGAATGGCTCAGCCTTTCACAGCCTAGGGGGATTAGTGGCTTTCGCGCGGAAGCAACTGCGCTTGGCGTTTGTACCGAAAACAGAAATGTTCTTTTGCAGACTTCCGATGCCCACGATAATAGTTAGTTACAATAACGTTCTAGGAGACACGGAAGGCAAATGCCTCTGTTATCAGCAGAGTGCATCACAACCATGAATAGGCTTCTGAGTGAACAGTAGTTTTCATAGTACAAACGACAAAGGTGCATAGGTTCTGATAACCATTTGAAGCAGAGCAGTCACTGTGTGCGTGTTCTCGTTTCCAAGTTCAAAACAACTGCTTGGGGTCACTTCCTGAGGTGCAGTGGCCTTGTGGCGCAGGAGTAGCTGGCTAGTGAACAGGCCCTTCCTCAAAAGGGTTAGCAGTGGCCTCTACGCTTCTTCATCTTTCTGAAAATTCGGATATTGGGTATTGCGCATGAGCTGCGTAAATATAGCTCTCCCTTCGGACTACTCCGTTGTTCCACGTGGCCGCTCATTCTGCCTTGCCATCGAAGCGATTCGCGCCGTAGCTAAAAAATTCCATCTCATATTCGCTTTGTGGGGCACTATTTTTCAAAATAGAGCAAGAGACACTGGATCATACTGCAAATGCTCGAGGCGCTCTGGCGTTTGTCAGGAGCCAGGTGGCGTAAACGTGGAAAGCCCCACCAGCACGACACGCACCTCTCGTGATGCAGCAATTAACAACCGGGAAAGCGCTTTATATCATTTCAGCTAACGTTATGGAGGCATGTCTGCTGTATGGATCAGCATGATGTGCGTTCTGTTCAAGTTTTGTTGTCGGCTTGCTACCGCGCGCCGGAGCGAAGTAGACCCAATGGGTTTCCACAAAGGCAGAGAAAGCCAAGAATTGGACCAGATCATCTCACCTATCGAAACTCCCCACGAATAATCAGGGAAAGAGTTGCGCTTTAGGAGCAAGTCTCCACCGACTAAGCGCTGGGGTACTGCGACTAGCCGTGGAAACCCACTGCGCAAGTAGCCAGGGAAAACATCCTGGGAAAAGACAGCATTTCTGTTCAGTCAGCTGATTAGTTTCGCTATCTGCCCAGATTCCAGGCATCTCCAATGTTCTCCCCGTAGTGTGCTTCTGATCGAGCTACTTTATCTGTATGCTAACGCTGAGTATTCGGAAACACCTTTGCTAATGCATGCCTTCTCCTGGCTGTAAGTTCTAGGGGTCATATATTTTTAAGGCCCCGAATCAATTTTCCCTCGGATAAACCATTTACCAGCCGCCTTGTTCACCCTGTATCTACAACTGCCACTGAAATGGACCGACAGCAGCGGCATAGCTCTGTAGCTTCCACAAAGAAAGGTGGACAGAACGACTCGAAGTTCGTTTCTGTTTGTACACGTATTTCCCATCACCAGGCAACAGAAGTAGTAACAACAGTTGCAACTGTATATGCTTTGTTTGGAAATGATCTCAAGTTGTGGGCTACGCCAGTGAGTGCTGACTTGCCATTCGACATACTTTCCATCCTGTGCTTGATCATTTTTTCGACGGAAATCTTTGTTAGCTGCGTAGGAAAAGAGAATTATACATGGCATACATTTTTCTGGTTCGATTTAGTTTCGACTGGGACTCTAATATTAGATCTATCATGGATATACTATGAAATGTATCTTGTTGTCGAACAGAATGCTGAAGTAGCATCTAGCGATGTAGTGCAAGTGTCACGGGCCGGAAAGGCAGGGTCTCAAGTCGCTAGAGTGCTCAGAGTCATCCGTTTAGTTCGGCTTATTCGAGTTGCAAAACTCTACAAAACTCTTGCATTGCGATTCCAAGCTAAAGACGAAGTTGTGGATCAGCAAGATATGTTCCTCGAACCCGGGGAACGCGCTCCAGATGATGTCGGGCTTGAAGAAGAAGCTGACGCCACAGACGAGGGAGATGAGTACGACAGCAAAATTGGAAAGGAGCTCACGGACAGGACTACCAGGAAAGTTATTTATATAATCCTCGCGATGACCATAGTTCTGCCTTTCCTCTCCGAGGAGCAATACATCACAAGAACAAGCTCTGAGCAGTCTGGACTAGATAGCGTCGCGGAATCTGCCACAGCAGCCCGGCGGTACAACACAGCACCTTGGTGGCGAATGTACTCCATGAATACCGTTTACTACATCAATTACCATCGCAAGAACGGCTTAGGCTACGCAGAAGGAGAAATCAATCCAGCAAATTTAGTGTACATGGAGCTTCCGCTTCCTCTCAGACACGTCACTGAATCGGCTGGCCGAGTGTTCGTAGATATGGCATGTCTTGGCTTCAAGAGCTGCGAGCATCCGTTGGAACTCCCACCAGAATGCGCACAGGAATTGCTTCTAGCAAGCGCAGTCAACGGAACAATGCTAACTGACGAGCTGGAGTCGATAGATTCACTCAGGCCTAGTGAAAGGGAAGTTGTTTCTACTGCTTTCTGTCAAGGACCCTCGGAGGAGGTGGCAGGTCCACTTGAAACACAAAAGGCATCATCCTGTGTTTCTGAAAAAATTTCTTCTTTCAAGGCAGTTTACGACAAGAGAGAACTTTCTCATCTAGAATCAGCCTTGAGCATGCTTAAAACTGTGTTTGTTTGTCTGATCATGGTCATCGGTACTGTGGCAATCAACCATGATATTAATACTCTCATTTTAAGACCTATAGAGCGAATGATAACAAAAATGAACAGAATCAGAAACAACCCCCTTGCCGCCACCAATATGAATGCAGACAGTGATGGTAAACAAGTTGAGGAAAACGCCGAAAACGCAGAGGGAGATCCTCTCCAAGCGCTAAAAAACTGGATGGGCGGCAAGGGATCGAAAACGCAAAAGGAGAACTACGAGACTGCTATCTTGGAGAAAACCATTATCAAAATCGGGGGTTTACTAGCTCTTGGCTTTGGAGAGGCAGGAGCCGAAATTATTGCCAAAAATATGCACACTGCTGATGGCAACATAAACGCAATGATCGAGGGACGCAAGATGGAAGCAATCTTTGGCTTTTGTGACATACGGAATTTCACAGATGCAACAGAAATACTTAAGGAAAAAGTTATGGTCTTTGTGAACCAGATTGCTGAGATCGTCCACGGCACTGTGGACCAGTTTTCAGGCAGCGCCAATAAGAACATAGGTGATGCATTTCTTCTGGTCTGGAAGTTTCCAGAGAGGGAGATCGCCGATGGCGTTAAAGAACAAATCATCGACACCGTTACCAGCAATAAGCTGGCAGACATGGCATTGATGTCGTTTGTTAAAGTTGTTGCGGGGATCAACAAGTCATACACATTGGCTGAATACAGAGAAATACCGGAGATCATTGAGCGCATGGGGACGGGCTGGAAGGTTAAGATGGGATTTGGCCTGCACGTTGGGTGGGCTATCGAGGGTGCCATTGGATCAGAATACAAAATCGATGCGTCATACTTGTCTCCCAATGTAAACATGGCTTCCAGGCTTGAGGCAGCAACCAAGCAGTATGGGGTCACAATCTTAATATCTTCCGATCTCTACGACATCATGTCTCCGCAAACGCAGACATACTGTCGCCAAATTGATCGAGCTACCGTAAAGGGCTCCAAAGTACCTCTTGGACTCTACACTGTTGATTTAGACCCTGGTCGTCTCCAGGTTCCCGCAAGGACCCCTGTGACAGTGAACTCAAAAAATGCAGTCTTCCTTCAGAGGCAACAGCGTCTCCGAGAAAAGCATAAGCTTTGGTCTAGTCGAACATCGATTTCTGCAATGTTTGAGACCGACCCAGATATTGTATCTATGCGTGAGCACTTGACCAAAGAGTTCTTGGGTACCTTTCGCTCCGGATTTAGGCATTACGAAGCTGGTGAGTGGTACACCGCTAGAGAGATATTTGTCCGCACACAGTACATGCTGGGCGTGGAGGATGGACCGTCAACTGTACTTCTCCATTTCATGAGCACCAAGAATTACGTTGCCCCTGAAGACTGGGGAGGGTTCCGGGAGCTTGTAGAAAAGTAAATCAGATAGTTATGTCCCATCAACTTCAGATGCCAGCCACCGGAATGCCCAGAAAGCATGGGCATGCCTCTCGACAAAGCCACAGTCTCAAAGATCGGCATCAAAATTTGAGACTGTGCATTGTGACAACTCTTCTCTAGCACAAGTTCAAAAATTACTTTTCCTCCCTTGGATGCCAGAAAGCTCTTTATACTGGGTTCCAGAAACATTGTTTTCCTTCAAGCACAACGCTGTATCTGCTGCAATAAAGGAGAAGCAACTGTACTGCCAGTCAAATTCAGTGGCTAGCTGCAATTAGTGCACTCGCACGTTGATCTTCCAAATTATGCATGCTCCTTTATTATACTTGTGTCGTTTCTTGCGCTAATGCACTGCCTTTACATCTCACCTGCGGCGCTTTGCCAGCGAAAAGTACGCTTTCAACCAGGCACAAATAGAATCAGGATGCTTTTCAACTTGATGCCTGCGCCCAAAATGCCCAAACTGGACATGCCGAACTCCGATAAGAATGCATACCTCACCCCTGCAGCTTCTGCATGGCGACCGCTGCACATTGAAAATAAAGTTCTGTGTTATAACGGTAAGGCTCACATTGACCTTGATCAGCCACAACTTCTAGTTGCAGAGCATAGAGTCCGCTGAGAAATTTTTGTTTACGTGATAGTAGTGCTGGCGTTGGAAAGATGCCCGAACAGCAGCTCGTGATGGCCTTTGGTCGCTGTAAGCACGGCTGCGCCAAGTGTCACGCGAACATCAGCTGACAAATTCAAAGGTTTCGGCGTAGAGAAAAAGCATTCGAAATCCACCGGATACCCATTTTCTCGAGATGCGGTCGCTAACGAGACATGGTAAGGCGACTGAAGATGTGCCCATGCACTGGTTAGGAAGGAGTAATAAGAGCCTGCGCGCTGGCATAGAAGAAGTTCCTTGCGCGACACAGCAATCACGAGGAAAACCAGAAAAATGACTAATTTGATACTGCTCCGACCCAAAGTGGAGGAAACAAACAACACCAGACTAATCTTCCAGGCTGAACGGTAAACGAAGGAGTCAATGCCATTTCAGCTGGAGGTGTTTATAGTTATGCTGTCTTCATTATACACTGATTGCATGTACAGGCCTCATACTGACCGTGGGAAAAAGATTCTGGTTAGGAGCTCTCGAGCGTCAGCAAAACACTACAATAAACCAACAACACTAAAAAGACCGGAAGCCACGTGCACAAACGCATCTCTTTTAACCAGAGGCGGATGGATCTGGTCCAATTGCATAGTCTGCGGCTGCAGAGGAAGAAAACTAATATTGTGGCAAAGCCTATAATTTGTCGCTGTATATGAGCGCGTAGCTGGTCAACTGTGGAGCTTTCCTATAGTTACGAGTGGCGGGGCTGAGCTCCTTCACTTCATTTACAAAATGGAATTAGTTGCAGTATAGCTACCTTATAGCATGGCAGTGATGACCACGGAATGATTTCGTATGCATTACCCATATCTTCTTTCGCCGAGTGTGCAGCAGGACTTGCGACGGAGACTGTGCCTCAGCCTCTCTTGGGAGGTGACCTCCAAGTGAATCTCGCACTGCCACTCCACTGCGCGGTTTTCTCTCCCGGCAAGATATGTACAACGACAGAACAATGTTTGTGTGTGTGTAGGTAAGGCATTTGAAGCGAGCTGTTGCTCTTTTACTCGGGCATGTGGATACAGCGATGAGCGTCTCGCCGACTGTTGTTAGCTTTTAGTCCTAGATCTCGTAAGACGCATGAAGCTACGCATTTTTTCTCTATGAGAAGATTTCAGGCGTCCGCTGTGGTTTTCACCTCATCGGACTTTCCTTCGGGCTTCCAGCGCACGCGGTTTCATTGGGTGTTGGTGACCCATCCATTAACACCAGTAGGCAGGAAATGTCCTTCACCAAGAACCCTGAAGCAGCCTTCTACTTACCTGCCAATGACTATGTGCCTAGCTTTCGTGCTGCAAGGGATTATTTGGCAAGCCATGAACCGTTTGCTGACCTCGCGGGCATCACCCACTATTTCTCAGATTCATCTCTAAACTCAGAAAGCCATTGCCTCATCGACAGTCTTTATGGGCCTCAAAGAGCAGGAAGCACCTCAAGCAATGAACCAAACACTTTGGGCGAGCTTCGCAAAGCAGACACGGCGAGATTCAGCGGGTGGTCCCCAGTGCCCGAGAAAGTGGGACAGCCTTTAGACGCGCGATTCAGCCTTTGGGACTCCAGCGAGAGTGAGAGCTGCAGCATTCATGAATGTTCTCCTCTTCGCTGCACATCAACACAATGGACTACCGAGGAACGTGCAGCACAGTGGACATCAGCATCTCGCAGGCAAAAAACCTTCCCCGTTGCATTACGCAGCAGCTGTGTTTTGGAGACTGATGAAACAGGCGTCTTTGGATCATTTTCTACTGAAGACGATGGATTCTGTATTACCAATGTTTCCCGGTCAATAGACAAATTAATTAGCGACTTCTTGCAGACACCCCGGAGAACCTCGACCCCCCATGCAGAGCGTATGCTAGATACCTAAAACAGAAAAAAGCCACCAGTTGTCATCATGCATAACCACTGAAGGAGAAACTAAATTTTCAGCAGCTATGCTGGGCAATTACTAGGATGGAACGCGCCCACTGTTCTGTTGCCCGTTTGCCACAGGCAGCACAACGTTCCGCAGTCCAGGCGATAGTACAGTTGACAAAATTTCCCCCATGAGCCCTCTGAAGACAACTTCCGAGGGCTGGGCTGCAGCAGCAACTGCAGCAGCTTTTGCTGCTGCCTCGATAGAGGATTCTGAAGGCTCATCTGTGAGACTGCTGGACTCAGCAACGACGTCGGGATTGGGGACTGCGTTTAAACTCAATGCAAGTGAGATAGAGGCTTTTTTAAGAGCTAAGAGCAAGACAGAAGAAGTTGCTGCGAGGATTAGGAAAGAAGTTGCAGCGGCACGAGAATCTACGGGAGACCACAAAAGCATTCGGCCGCGGTCTCCTTTGGCAGGGAAGATGCTCGGAAAATCTCTGGTGCCAGGAACTTTCTTCAGGCCGTCCCAGACCGCTAGCATGAAATACTCCACGTCCTTTAAGGAATGCGTATCGAGATGCCGGAGAATTGTTCAAGGGTCGGACGCAAGACCCTTTTCAGCTCTTAGGTCAGTCAGCAATAACAAAGGCAGCGCAAGGCTTCCCGCTAAAAGCCGGTGCAGCTCCGAGAAGTCTAACACAGTACGGCGAAAGGCAGGCATAGTTGGACCAGCTAGCGACCTTTCTGCACTGGGGAAGAAACTGCAGCCCGTAATGATCAAGCGTCGAGGCTGCTCATCAAAGTTGGGGATTGAAGGCAACCCAGCAGGAGCTCCAGGGACGAGCACTTCCATCTCATCTGGGGTTCTGGCATCCGCACCGCCCAAAGACGAGGCACTTCACTCGCTGAAGCTCGAATCAGCCGATTCAGGGCCCCATACTGTAAGTGATGAGCCGCATCTATGGGACTACGGCGAAGCTCGCCGCTGTCCCAGCACTCTTTCAACAAGTTATCAAACAGACCCGATACCTGAGGATTCAGGAGCATCTCTAACCACAAAACGGGCACTTCTTTTCACCCCATCTAAAGCTACTTCACCAAGGAGCCGAATGCAAGAGGCGGAATACTGCGCTGCTGCACCTACTTCACCTTCTGCAAGTGCTGCATCTAGACTCCAAGAGGGTCCAGAACAGTCAAAATCGTCAGCTATATCAACGACTGCAAGTATAGCAGCACCAAATGTGGCTTCTGATTCAGCAGTTCTACCTCCATCAAGTCCATCTGCAGCATGCACAGAGCCAAAGACACCGGAGGAAGCAATTGGCTTGTTTGCTGGGCTTCGAAGTGGGTTACACCCTGCTGTTGACAGCAGGTCAGTAGACATTCCTGGTGAAGGTGCGTTCATTGCGACTCCTGCTGAGCCACGGGGAACACTCTCACAAATTGCGGCACTTCGTCATCTCGCCCGCATCATCAGTAAGGTAAGATAGCTGCTGGCTTTTCCGCTGTCACTCTGCATAGTGGAATTTCCCCTTCCCCTTGTCTTTATCTCTACTGTATGTTGAACTTCTGACTGTCTACTTTCCCGGCGGGCAGGTGCTTGTCACTTTTTTTCCGCATAGGCTTTGAGCACTGCAACTATTAGGCAGCTGCGCAACGGTGCACGTAGGTTCCTGCGGAGGTGTCAAGGAAACCATAATAATGGAGAAGAGCCCTCAGTGGACACGAAATCAAAGGATGCACCGACACAACTGAATAGGATGACTCATTTCCTCAAGCCAGTGCCCAACGAAGCCGGCACGAATAAAAAACAGAGTATTGATTCTTTGTCTGAGCAAACTGGCGAGAAGAACTGTTGGGCACTCGATAGCTCAAAGTTGCAAGAATGCTCAAGTACAACTACCGAAAGCACTGGTAGACTAGTAAGCGCTGTCAGACCTCGAGATGCCGACGGAGCTATCAGCAGTAATGTGTCTTCTCAGAAAGGCCTCCTGTCTCCTCCTGAAGAGGAACCTGAGATCTGCATAAAGCACAATTTGCCATTTTGTGGAGTAAGAAATACAGTAGGCTCTATTCACGACTCAGCAGTCCGCCATGGTGAGACTCGGGACGTTCAAAATTTTGAGGTCTTTCCACAAAACTCACCTCATGTGGAAGACCTCGACGGTGCTGTTGAAATAGCCTCTCACCAGGCTAATCTAAGTTGCTCACGGGCTCCTAGTCCTATAGCGTTGACAGACGTCAGCGCGGCGCTCGTCGCAGCGGACAGAGTGCTGACCACAGCGGATTCTACTGCAGCAGAAGCTGCACCACTATCTGCTGGAGCTGTAAACGTGCAAGACGAGCGCAAGGACGCTTGTCAGCCCGTGCGCTTAACAGAGCAACAAGCAGACAGCAAGCAGCGGCCCGTGCTGTCCGGATACAAAAGCGTTCTAGAGCACCACTATGAAGATAGAATCTCTGAAAGTGAACGAGCGCCGGTGTGCAATCTGTCCCCTTATTTCGTGGATGAAGAGGAAAGTGCTTTCACTAGCAGAGGGCCATCTGAAACTTTCCAAAAGAGACCGAGTACTCGAATGGTGAAACTGGAGCCAAAGAAACAATGCGAACCCGTATCGCATGAGGAAGGCTGCCACCGGGAACCGCCGCAAGGGGCTTCTGAGGAAAAAGGGGAGGACAGCAAGCGCACTACCACTACTCAGATGGCGCATTCATTGACCGACACGTATGGCGAAGTAAGCCTTTGCTGCTCAGTTGTGCAAAAGTCGATGATGGCAAGAGGTTCTGAAGTCTCGAAAAACACAATTCGAGGTGCTGGTGGGAATCAAGATAATTCGGCGTCCGATGATATCCCAACATCGCGAGAAAATGTTTTGATGCCAGCAAATATTCTAACGTGGAAAGTAGGACACGGCGCAGAGTTCACAGTAAAATCACCAGAGGCTTCCTCAAAACGAGTGTACTATGAGGCGCGCACATTTTCAAATCCGCATATATACCATAACCAATCCCTCCTATGGATGTCACAGAGCACTAATTCGTGCTGCTTCCAGGGAACAAGTGTCGAGTCATCAATAAGGCGCAGCAGCTTTGATATACAAGAGAATGTTTCAGTCAGGTGCGGCGAATGCCTACCATTAGGCAAACGTATGGAATTAGAGGGAGGCGATTCTGAAGCAGTTGCACTTTTTGCCAAGCATTCAAAAGAGATGTTACAGCCGCTGAAAAATTCTGAAAAGTTTCAGGAAGAACAACAGGGACTGCAGAGAAACAAATGCTTTACGCAGTATCTCCAGCATGAGTTGGAAAATCTGAGACAGCAGCTTAGTGCTCAAAGAGAATTGATGAGCCGTCTAATTATGCAGTATGATTCTGGCCCATGCAGAGCTCAGCTGTGCTCCGCTTCATACCAGCAAATCTCCAGCATGCGTCGCTCGGAGGAAGTCCACAATATGCAAATGATGGAGCAGGAGGTCCCCATGCACGGAGAGGGGGAAAGTTCGTTGCATTCACCACTCCAAGACTGCCAGCATGCAGAGGTTAAGGCCGAACCGCAAATGAAAGAATCCGAGCCAAAAGGGGCTTTACACGCAGAAGTCTACAATGTGGAAATGATGGAGCAGGAGGTCCCCGTGCACGGAGAGGGGGAAAATTCGTTGCATTCACCACTCCAAGACTGCCAGCATATAGAGGCTGAGGCCGAACCGCAAATGAAAGAATCCGAGCCCAGAGGGGATATACACGCAGATCAAGATCTTGTAGAAATGACCGCTGGAATGCAACAAGGCCCTCACGACACTGCTGTGCCCAGAGCTCACCAACAGCTTCCTCCCAGGTCTTCAGATGTAGGATCTCAGGAGCACCTATACCAGGGTCTGGACCACGCGTCTAGCCGTGAAGCAGGCGAGGAACAAGAAGTGTCTTGTGCAGCTCGTATTGCCTTGGTGTCACTAATTAAGCGCGTGGAAGCTCTTAAACGGCGCTTTGCGCAACCTTCTACCATAAAACTGCCCAATGGAACTGACGCAGGCAACAAAAAGCAACCGGACGAGCGAGTCGAAGCACGCAGCACACGACAAAATCCACTTTACTACATGAACCCCAAGCAACGGGTAAAGGCTCATATTCAATTCCGAATGCGCAAGCAGAAGCTACAGCACCCCCAGACAAAGTTGTTGCCTGAGCTGTACGTTGTGGGAAAATCAATGGCGAGCGGGACTTTGAAGACTGCAGGAGCTTCAAAAGCGACGCTTACACCAGATAATCACCCACAAGCATTTGCACTGCCTAAGAGAACACGCTTCGGGGCAGAAAAATGCGGGGGCCAGGACACTTGGCCTCCACCACCTATGGAGCAGCGGCAATTTACTATGCCAACAATCCCCGTTGAGCAGAATGAAGTGACTCATGGGCTGCCCTCCGCCGCACGCTTGGGTTTGCAAGGCGAACGTTTCAGTCTTGCCACGCCACCGCAAAGCGCACATTCTTCATATTTTCCAGAAGAAGTGAATAAGAATGCACTACAGGCTGCTAATCATCCAACGGAAGCTCGAGGCACTACTTGTAGGGGACGCCATACGGAGGGAAAATTTTTTGCAGAAAAGGGTGACTCAGGAGCCCTACAGGAGAGGTCTTTTTCTCCTACAATGAACAGCCAAGTGCGTGATGATGCTAGAGATGACAGCATTGCCGGCAGCAGCTGCTGTATGACGTCAGCGCAGATGAAACTTTGCTGCTGCGGTGCTAGTTCCAGCCAAGTACCAGCGCAGGCGACGACACTGACATCTCAGGCTACACTGTTGCAGTTTCGGCCCGTTGTTTCACCTTTGAGTTCAGCTCATGCGGATGTAATGAAAACGAAGAAGCACAAAGCTTTCTACAGCAAACACAGGTGTCCGGAGACGTTAACTGGTGCAGCTGCCTCTCTCTCTGGCAGGGTGGTGAAGATGATGGTAGCTAAATCGCGTCTGATACAACAGCAGGCACAGTCACAAAACTTCTTGCATGCCTCTTCGTCGAACGTTACATCTGCGGAAAATGTGGGATTTCACCTAGAGGAAGCGATCCCGATCGTTGATGCTTTGGAGGAAAGAGCATTTCCTAGAGAAGACCGCAGCAACTTGGCTGATTCACGGACCCCGGGGCACGAAACATCTGGCCAACAAGTGGAGACCGAAATACAACGCATTCATCAAAAACAGAACAGACCCTGCTGCTACGTTCCACTAACTTCACAGCGCTGTCCTCTGCTCGTCCACTCTGGATGTAGTGGCTCCAACAAGCAACACCAAGGGAAAGCAATGGAGCAGAAGAAAAACACGAGAGTAGAAGAGCTCCCTTTGGCCGCTGCATCGCCTGCATATTCGTGCCACCAAGCTCAAGAAAGGTCATCATGCCAGGAGGTTACGGAGACACCTCATCAACGAGCCCGCAAAAGACGAGAACGTCAGATCGCGCTTGCTTGCAAGTAGGTGTTTACTTCCCCGAGTGGTGTGCTGAGACTTAACTACAAGTTGTTTCCATTTGTAGATGCAGCTGCATCTTGCACGCTGCTTGTCATTTTTGGCGCGCACTCGTTAGCATAATATATCCCAAGCCCCATTGACGTCTTGGTGTTTTCTGCCCTCAGAAAGCAGGAAGACCAACACTCCTGTACAATGCAGCAGCAGTAAGGCTTAATACATGCACGCAAACCAGCAGCAATTTGTCTAAAGCATTAGCCTTACCTTCTTGCTCAAACATGCGGGTAAGAAGTTGGCGTAGCACTCAAAGGGTACTTGGATGTTAGGCGTATGAAACTGCGGGAGGCCGCAACTTCCATTTCATAAGCTGCGTCACGTATGTATGAGCGTGTGCACAGCGCGACGAACGAGCACCGTGCGAAGGGACCGAAGACCCATGCAGAGGGGAAAATCGCGAAGCAGCAACGGCGTTCTATCTCCATCGGAAGGGCACACAGTGACACAGCTACTGCGCATACTGTTGCTGCATTCTACCACACATTACTCAAAAAAAGCGCATTCCAACAACTGCATATGGAAGCCACTAGTGTCGCTGCACTGATACAGCAGCACGATTCACGGCGAGCCACAGACTTGATGGCCCGATGCTTTCAATCCTGGAGGTAAGCGACTCACAAGACAGTAGTACTTACAGTGACATAGATGATGCGTTTTTCTGACGTACGCGCAATGCCTATCAGGTGGTGAGCATCGCTGCAGGGTTGCAGTGCTTCGCAAAACCGTAATTACCCACGCAGCGGCAATCGGCAAGATGCACCAGCGCCAACATTTCTGCAACGCTCTGGCAAAGTGCGCAAGCTTTATATTGGCCCGCAACGTGTTGGCACACCTGAGGCAGCTGGCTGAGCAATCAGTTGTTCCAAGAAGAAGGGTATGTGACCTACTATTTGTGCTCCCTGTTTTCTCGTGACTTCGTAATTTCATTTTGTGTAGCTTCGTCAACCCACCGTAGTAAATGCCCACAGGCTGCAGTAACTGTGGAGGCACAGAAATGAGAAGAGACATCTTTTTTCACTGCATGTGCATCAGGTCCTTTGTCGGACGGCAATCCGTGCACTACAAGGCGCTGCTACACTACAGGCTACGGAAGAGGAGCATGAGGTAATGCAACGTGACCAAGCTTTATTGCATATGCAGCTCCCACCTTTCTCCTGGCTGAGAAAAACTGAAGCAGATAGACGATAGCCTGTGTTTGTCCCTTACAAGGAGCTGCGCTGAATGGTCTAGCACTCATTTGGATAACGCCATCCCACGCGTTCTTGCAGCACGCTTTTGCATATTAGGCGGTCGAGAAATTGCAACGAGCCGCTCTTAGGCGACATATACTGGCCTGGTACCAAGTGAAAACGCGAACAGCGATTGACCGGGAAAAGCAATGCCGCCAGCAGCAACAACACAAGGACAAGCTCCAACAAGTCAAGAAGCAGCTGTGGGCAAGAGCTCTCAGACATATGGCGGACTATGAGCGCGCATGAATCAAGGCAGAATAACGAATTGTTTTCCTGGGGCTAGTGGACAGAAACTGCTTTTGCTCTTCAGGCTGTCTTGTGAGGCCCGCACTAGAGCAAGGAGTCTCTCCAGCGGGTTTTGAATGCACTAGAATCTCTTCTGCAGAGCAGCACTACGGTGCCGCATATGGTCAGCCACTACCTACACTTATAAAAGCTTGGAGACTCTTAGTCGTTCTCCGCTGTCTCGACGTCGCAGAAAATCATCATGCACTACGAAACCTGACACCTATGGACGGCAAACCTTTCGGACCCACGGATGACCAGAGGAATGAAACTTTTCCTGCACTTCCAAGATTGAGAGATAGCATACAAATGCGAAGGAGCAGCAATGCTGTTTCTGCATCCCCGTTCTCGCTGCTCGCAGTATTTTTACGCTGAAAGTTGTGTAGAACAGGAGTCGGAGGGGACAGGAGTAGCTGTAGCAGGATGCAATTCACTTTCACTCCTATGAGTGTGAAAGACTTTGTCATTGCCATATATTTCAGTGGACATAGGATTCTTCGCCCAAAATCGATGGCAATATGGGAAAGCTTCCCATCGACGGCAGGTGCTGCATATGGTTATTATTGTTGAAGAACGACTCTGTTCCAGAGATGGTCCAAAGCGCAAGCAGATGCCGGAACAGAAAGCAAACCACCAAATCGGACATAGCGGGTTAACATAAGTGCATTGAAAAGTTTTTGTATAGGCAAAAACTGACTGGTGGGCCACAGGGCAATTCAATGCCACGAGGTCTCCTGTGCAGCAGCGACTCTCACCTCTACAGCCATTCAGCATCAGGACAGGCTAGTATCCACAACTTCAATGCATTGTACCACCTCTTTTTGCCTGGATGCCAACCATTCGCCTAACTGAAGGAGATAGCTATGAAGCTACAAGAGTCTTCATAACCTCCAAGATATGCACTCGGGTTTGAAGCTTCACTGAAGGAGATGGCAGCAAGCGTTTTTGGGCTTCAGCAGTACAGATAGCGAAGCGACCACATTAGGATACTTTCACACAAGCGAACTGTGCCAGCAAGATGGCTTACTTCAGCCAAACGGAGGAGTGAGAGCGGCAAAAGTTTGCGCTCTTTCTAGTTGCCCAGAGACGCCATCATTGCCTACCTCAAATGACGACACATGCAGAACGTACTATGGCATCCGCAGAACAGCTTAGCTCTCCTCCACGACTGCCGATATACTTCGCCCATATGCCCATCTCTAAGCATGATGTGCTTTCTGGCTGGTGATACCTTCTCCGAACAAAATGCAACGGAAGTAGCTCTGTCTAGCTTCAAATCTGGAATGCGACTGCCAGGCGCAGTGAGCCCATAGAACGCTCGGGAAAGTCAGGCGGGAATGGATCCAAGCATAAGATGTAGCTTGATAAAGGCTGCTGCCTGTCGCACAGCTTGCGTGAACTGTGCAGTGCACAATTCAATGGACAGTGTTCAATTTGAAGCAATAAACTGGGGAATACTTTCGCGGGAGGCAGCATATTTTCCAACACTACAATGTCAGCTGAATAAGACTTCTGCGTCTTGTACACAGCGCATCATTACCTATTGTAGCGCGGAAGGCCAAAAAAAGGCATATCACAATGCTGTATGCCCTTTTAAAGTGCATACACCCAAGTAAAACCATCAAGTCGCGCTAGTCCTTTGCTAGAACACTCTGCGTTGGATACTGCCTCAGTCTAGTTCCATAACATTCAGTTTACAACATCGTATGATACAACAGCTCGACATGTTCTGACTGGAACACGTGCTCGAACTCCAGGGGCGCAAATATTTGTGGCCATGTATTCCTGTGACAAGTGTGAACTTTAGTAGTGTGCCTTTTGAAAGCAAATGGAACTAAAAGCTGATAAAAGGCTCATTTGATCTCCTCGTCTGAGGCATGTGCGCAACTACCACACCAAGGCTTGCAGCCGCTATCACACGGAGTACCTCAGCGATAAAAAATTTCCTCAAAGGTACAGCACTAGACAATAAAAAGTGGCAGTTTCGTCCCGGTATGTGAAATTAGTAGATACAAGATGCGCCTGTTCCGGTAGTGCGCAGACACCACAATAGGGCTTACCTGGAGAAAATAGGGCTCATCTATAGAAGATAGCTAACTGACGACATATAAGCAGATAAAAGGTTGAGACACTGATTCGGGGCTGTAACTTCTTACTAGTATAGTACAAAACCAATTTATTAACAAAATAATATGTATAAAGTAGAAATGTCTACGAATAACCGAAGACTGGGGCTGGCGACATCGCCGGCACCAGTGCGCGTCACATCTTCACCGGACCAGCAAAGCAAGAACCATGAGGAGCGACTTTTAGGAAAAATGTTTTTCGGAACTTGAAACAGAACGGGTATTTTCAATAAATTGGTAGACGTGACGCGACGGTGCGTCGATAGTAGAGAAGATTTCATAGAACTCCCAAGTTGTGGGGCGTGAAGCATCGTAGTCGGAGGAGAGACGGCGGTGCACTACAGTTCCTGTCCCAGAGTGAGGCTGTGAAATTACTTGAGAGCACCTGTTCAACATAACAAGATTAGAAAATGTGTCGGTAGTGCTTGCTGTACTTCCAAAAGTGCCACGTAGAAAAATCTTACACAGGTTGTCATGTAAATGGTCATGAGACCCAGCGGGCCAGAGCAGTGGTGCTTGAGAAAACGATGCGACTAGCATAATCGATGTCTTCACCCGTTTTCTTGTTGCGTTTCAATGCGTAATCGGCTCCCTCTCTGGGACCTGCCTACATTTATGCCACGCAGATGGATGGCAACGCTGCTTATGGAGTGGGGTCCAAGAGTCATCCCCATGACTTCTATGACGCACTCTGCTACGAATTTCTTTTTCACTGCAGCAGTTAGTAGGGTGATGTCAGCCGAGAGATTATTTGCTATATTGTAAGCTTGGCGTGTTCATTCTGTTGCTAGTGCAACCTGCATTTTAGGAGAGCAACAATTGTGCGAACTACTGAGCCTCATTTCAGAAGTGTCTATGTCTATTAAGTAAATGTTCTCTCTAAGCTGTTGCATACGGGTAGCTTACCAGTAATTCGTCATCTTCTGTGCTAGACACTGTGCAGCCCACGCTTGGCGCTAATGCGCTGGACGCCGGCTTTGTGAGTTGGCACACGGCATTTAGTTGCCTTGCTGAAAGAAGACCATCACTTCGAATAGAAGCACAAACATTTCCGTTCACTTCCGTTCATTATTCATGCATTGAAGTCTTCTACAGTGCACTGAAATCCCGGGAACCTCGCTGGAAACCCAGCTCTACTACAGCGTCGCTGTTCGATAGCAGCATCGTTAGAGGCTCTCAAATGAACGCGGATACCACTGTAATTAGAGGCAGTCATGCAGTTCACTAGCTATGCTCCGTATTCTACGAATTTTGGGACTTACACAGTAATTTCAACACCTGGATTTTTTCACGCAGAAGCATTTCGCATGAAACCGCTGCAGAACTATTGCCATGAGCAGATACCACATTATGGCTCTTCGCTGTTCGTGGGCAACTTTTTTCCCCGTGCGATTCCTCCATGTTTTGTGATCCTTTCCTATATCCTACAGATTCTAGGAACCTAGACCCGCGAATACAACAGGCGCGTGTGAAACTGTGACACTGTTTGCGCCTGGGAATTCTCCATTAACTATGGTGTAAATACTAGCACTCGCAATGCCATCCACTGCCCCGTGGAACCAGCTATTAGGTGTTTCGTGCTCTACAGTAGGACATCGTGATCCAATCACTTGCACTTCCTGTACATTTTGTTGCTTTGAAGCTTTCTAAGACCAAAAGTGCATTCGAAATGTGCTAAGGCACTAATAGCTCGTGATAGTGGCATTGTTACATACTGTGGCACACCACCACTAAGCTACTGGGCCGCTTCAAAAACCAAAATTTTTGTTGTTCGGCGCCTCTCAAATACTCGGTTAAAATGCGCCATTAATGGCATGATCCTGCTGGACTGAACAGTTCGTTCGGCTCTCCTGTTTATTGTCCCAAAAATGCCATATCTGCATCTGTTAGAAGGCTGCCACTCCTCAGTTCTTTTAATTCTCTACGGGTGGTCAGGGGGCTCCCTGCATGATGTTGCGACGCATACTAATCAAAAGCCAGACCTCCAGCCGGAGGATGTTGTCTATTGACTGTAGTCGCGGGCGTCATTCTGCCGCCTGCTGCCCCTCTCTTGGTCGGCGTTGCTATGGCTGTCTTCGTAACGAGAAGGTCAGCTTGATCTGTCTTCATCACCATAACGTTCTGAATATTGAGCATGGAACGGCCTTCCTTAGATCTATGCTTTATTATGCAGCAGCCCTCTTGCAATGAAAAGCACTTGGGCTCGGACATATTTGACAAGTAAACCCTTATCCCGCCTCTTTCCCATTTCTTGGAGGCACCGGAAGTTGCCATGGCACCCCTGGCGACCGCATTTTCCTCCGATACTTGCACTGCTTTTCCTCAAGAACACACGTTTAGGAGACAAATTTTATGGAGCAGTTATTTTCAGTTTCCACCGTGACAGCAAAAATGCCAGCTGCTTCTCTCCTGCGGGGCTTAGTTCTCCGCATGGGCTTCATGCTGACGGGTTGAAATTCATTTCCGAATCATCTTGATCTAGATTTGTCAGCAAATGGCTCTCCCTATTCTATGCAGTATTTTCTGCGATTAAGCCAGGAGTTTGACACGTAAGGTCGTTTAAATTGCCGAAGCGAAGATTACAGAGGGTCTGTAGGATGGGAGCTCGACATTCCGGTACAGCCTTTGCACCACATGGTCGCTAGGATTGGTCTTTTAATTCTGTTCAATGTAAAAAGGAGAATTTGACCTGCAAGTTATGGTCTTTCGAATAGGGTGTTTCAGAGTAACAGCTAGTGCACATTGCTGCGCCTCCACATAGGCTTCGTGCAATAGCTTTCACCATGATGCTAGTTTATTTTGCACTAAGCGCAATGCCGATTCGATTTGTTAGTG